TCCGACCGGCAGGCGCGTGTGGCTTGGGGAAGGCCGGAGCAGGAGGGATCGGACTCTGGGATGCGTGTGCCCACCTGGGTTTCTCCTTCGCTAGGGCTGCGCTTTCACTGTACCCGTCGATATTGGCGCCGCAGAAGGCCTCCGGTTGCTCGCCGTCACCTGCATCGTGATGTGGGTCTCCGGTTCTAGGCCCACAGGTGGCGGCTTTGTGGTCTTTGGCTGGTTGGCTGGGAAGTTTTGGCGTGAGGCCGGTAGGGCTGAGTCGTCTGGTTGAGGTCAGGTCGCCGGCGACGGTGACGTGACTGGTGGGGTTGGGTGGTGGGTGGTTGTTGTGTTGGATGGGGTGGTGGGTTGGATTTGGTGGTTGGGTGGCGGTGGGGACCATTTCTTAGGGTTACAGTCTAGGCATGAGAAAAATGAAGTAAGTATTAGAGAATTTATTATTGCACAAAAATAACCAGAGACTATTACATTCCAGTGGTTAGGTGCTCTTCATCTAACCTTGAGGTCCAAGGTTAGGTCTTGGATCCAAAAATTTTAAAGATAATTTTGAAAACCGGTCAAACCGGCCGGCAGTTCAATATTAAAACCGTCGGTTAACTCAGTCAAACCCAGTTTTTGACCGAGTCACTTGCATTTCAGTCAAACTATTGTGCCGGGCCAGGCTTAGGGCCCAGTTATCAGGTTTCCGGCCCGACCAGCAGGTCCGGGATGGGTTTTATAACTATGATCCTAGCATAAGCAGCAAATATTGCATTCTTATTACAGACATTCACACCCGAATGTTTACTACAGCTACAAAGATGGATTTACCCTTATTGAAAATGCACTGAAATGGCCCAAATCTGCAAACATTGCCTCTGTGCCTGATAACCCCACAAAGTACAGGCATTAGTTTCAAAACTCAAGCAATTCTCATAGTCGTGTTAACGCAATAAGTTAACATGATTCAAAAAGAGGGCCCATGTCTAAATCTAATAAAATAAATATTGATTGTAATGTTCTCAAGAGACAAAGTTTTAGATTTAATTTACCTGTTATTGAGAGGAGGACCCCTCCAAGTGAAATCCATCCATCTATACCAGTTTGACTAAAGAACTTGATGATATAGTGTGGAGAAAGAGCCAACACGATTTTCGGGTTCCAATGTATTGTGTTATAGAGCCCAATGGAAAAAATTGATACCAACCAGAGAATAACAATGGGCGCAAATAAGAAACCGACCTTCTGGGTTCCAACATGCTGCAAAGCAAATAGGCCGACCAATATGATGCAAGCAATCAATAGTACTACACCTACATATAGAATATTGTCATCATAATCAGGACAATAACTCGGTCCGGAAAAATATAAATATACATCAGTATCAAAGCAAATAGGACTCAAGCCTAATCAACATAAAATGCAGAACAGTGCATACCCTTATTCAAATTTGTTCCAGCAGCTTCAAGACCAGATACCGATGATAGAACTGTAATAAAATGATGTATACATTGTTTGTTAAGAGAATGAAACAGAGCTTTGTTAAAAGAACTGAAAGTAATATCAAATAGCAAATGCACAGAAGTACATGAATAAGGGATAAGGGAAAAAACAAAATATCAATTGTATAACAAACATGACTACTTAAAAAATGATTTTGGTTGAGAGTATTCTCCATAGAAATGTTTCTGTTGCGTTCTCAATATAAATAACTACATGAAGTAAGCACCATCATTTCGTCAAATTAGGTAAACGATTTGGTTCATTTCCCCTCGTGCTCAATCATAACAATCTAAACATAAACTTCATGACTAGATAGTAGTGATAGCACAAACTGACCACCCTTGTATAAGTGTCACATATAAAATTAACAGTATTAGCCAAAGCACAATTTAGACTCATGTAAGGTCATTATAGAAAGAAATGATCTTAAAGTTGTTTTAACTTGGCATCAACGATGACATTGTCATACCTGAAATTGCAGGAGTAATTACACCATCACCTATTACCATACCAGCCCCAAGTAATACTACAAGCAATAGAAGTGTACGCAACTTCTTGTGTTTCTCGAGAAACCTCTTAAATGCTAAAGATGTCGAAGATTGTCCTGAGGGACCATATTTGTAAGCCGACAGCTCCTCGTCAGCTGCTTGTTGATTGGGAAGTAAACTGAATTTTGCATGCCTGCAAAGCAAGGAGTAAAGAGCAAAAGTACCCCCTGAGGAAATTGAAAATGGTTGGTCAGAACTAGTCAGAAGTAATTTTTTATTGGTTAATATTGTACAACAGAGCCACTTTAGCATACCTTCACCATTATCATCAGCACTCAGCAACATAAATACATATTTCAGCAGAGGGATGATTGTTAATGTCCAAAATATTAATGAAAATGCACCAAATATTGCATCAGAATTTTGATGATTCTGCAACTTCCCATCAAATATACTTCTATAAACATAAAGAGGTGAAGTGCTCAGATCTCCATATACCACCCCGAAGCTTTGGTATGCTAACATTAGAGCGCTGGGAAGATTCTCCAAACAAAACTGCAAGTCAACAACTATGTACTTCAGTACTTCTTTTTGGTTGAAACAAAGAGTGTCTATACTGAAAGTTCTTTTATTTAGCAGCCTGCTGGGCCAGAGACAATTTTATAATTTCAGAAAACCATGGGAATAAAATGTTTAGGGTCCAGATTAGAGAATATTTAGGCCAGAAAGCCTCCCCAATGCTGAACAATTTTCGCACACGTCATGCTGAAACCTGAGAGACCCTAAGAACCTATAAATATTGGTAAGAACAATTTAGGCCCATATAATTTTGGGTCATCCCCATGCAAGTTTTTGCAAATTTGTTTCATGTAATCCTGCCATGCCTTCTTTTTCGGCTATATAAACTTTTTAATTGTCACCCAGCTAGTTTCAGCTATAAGAAATGTATCCCCAAAGAAGGCAAATAGAGTAATTCCATACCTTTGAGGTTAACTTTCTTTTGCCCCTACTTGATTCTTGAACTAAACCCACCGCCCCTGGAGTTGGCAAGTCACTGCGGTCCATGTCAATTTGATTCATCTATTTACCTGCCAATATTGGTTCATTAGTTTCTGTAGGCCCTTCTGAATGCAACTTTTGTCAAGAGGCCAACTAAACTGGCATTCCCAGCATCCTCAGGGGAAAATTGAACGATGGTGGCAAAATTAAAAATCTTCATTCCCAAAAAAGGTCAATTACAGCTACTTATAGCCTTGAAAGAAAATTTTCCAAAACAACGAATAGCTTGGTAATAACATATACAGTTAGACTGAATGCACGAAGCTCGGAATATAGTTAAAAACAGCCACCCTTAACATAGTACAACAAAAGACTCTAGGATTCAGAAATTAAGATGGATCGACCTTATTTCCATTCATACACCGAAGACATCAAAAAACAAAAAGATTGACATTCAAGAACCAAGGAAACAGTGATGGCATCTTGGCCAGTTCAAAGTTTGGAAGCCCCAAACGAACATGATAGAAACTTTCATCTCAGTCATTAAAATATCTCAAAGAAGAAAAGAAATCACATAACGGTTATGTCTTAGGTAAAAGCAGGTTCAGCTAAGCTTATAAAGTACACTTAAAAGTAAAATAATACATAAGTTAGTTTGAGATTAAATAATTACTTTATATGTCAAAGTTTGAATAAGTAACTTATTTTGATAGTCCGGTTATTTTCAATTAAATACCTATGTTTACATAAAGGTAAGAAAAAGTAATATGTCCAAACATGTTTCAAACTAAGTAACTTTTACTTTTATTTTAAGCTTAGCCAAACATACTTGTAATCTGTATTTAATTGAGAAAAGAACACACATATCAACCAGTAATTTTATCCTTTTTAGAGTATTCATTAGCTTAAATCCATCAAAAAGACAACAAATATATTCCATGACATCCATTATCCAACAAGCATTCAAAAAGAAAAATATTTATCCATTGTGCAGTTCAAAAAAACAAAAAAATCAAGTGAGAAATTACCTTTTCAGATCATAAATATCCAGCTCTGGTGACATTTATATTCCAAAAGACCCAGTTAACAGCGAGAAAAACAATTATTTGCCATTTTACAGCTTAAAAATCTAAGCAAAATAATAATCCTTTACAACAACAAAAACCTAGCTTCAGTAACGAAAATATCTTCATGAATTCAATATACAGTAGAAACAAAGCCAATATATATACTACTCATTCTACATCATAAAAATTCCACCCCCAATACAATAAAAAGAAGAAAAAAGACAACCCATCAGTATATATACACACATAAAAGTAGAGAAAGTAATTACCTTTACAGTACCGAGGAGAAATTTGAACCTATAGATATCAAAACGAAGAACCCACCTTCAATTCAACATATAAATGTTAAATCCTAAATCCTAATAAATTAGTGAATTGAAAAAAGAACCCAGATATCAAATGTTACCTTTTCACCTCCGGAGATAATGAAGCGCTAGAAACACTGTTCAATTATTCGCATCTTTTGTTTTAAAACAACACGACGCAAATAAAAGATCGAAAATTTCTTGCGTACTATTGCTAGTTGTTTATTTTACAGATTGGTTTTTTTAACATATGGGTGGATGTGATGTTGAGATACTGAGATCCATCAGATTGGTGGTCGGATAGGCTGTGGCACCTTCATTCGCAGTGATGCACGAGTTTTTTTTTTTTTTACAAATAAAAAGAAAAAAGAAAAAAATCTTTTTTTTTTTTTACTTTTTTGAAAAATAATAAACAATAATTTTATTACACCGTAATTCAACAAAATTTTACTTGGGTCATTGAGTATTAATTTATTTTTAATTGATTGTTAAATTTCAATTTAATTTTAAAATCTTCATTAATCTATCACATCCGAGACTTAGGGTTGGGCAAAAATCAATTTGAACCAATCAAATCGATCAATCCAAGTTGGGGTTGGTTTTTTAATTCAATTAGGTTGGGTTCGAGTTAAAAAATCAAAATTTAGGCCGGGTCGGGTTGGGTTGGGTTGGATTCCTGGTTATCTATGATAATCCAACCCAATAAGCTAAAAAATATTAAAAAGAAATTGGTACTTAAAATCAAAAGCCTAAAATTAGGCACACTAGAAATTAGGTTTGGTTGTTGGTGGCAATGGTATCGTGGTTGGTTGGTGTTGGTGGCGGCACTGTGTTGATGGTGGATCATTTGCGGTGAATAGGAATTGCTGATTAATCACTTGTGGTGGTAGTTGATAGAAGTTGCTGATTAATCATTCATCTTGGCAAATAGGAATTACTGATTAATTCTTTGCAGTGGTTTTGTTGGATTTGGCGATGGTTCTGGCTATAACAATGGTGGTTATGTAGTTGAAAATGGTGGTTTGTTTGTGGTTGTGGGGGCTAGTGGTTACGACGACGCTAGCTGTGGTGCTGAAGTTGCATTGCTTTCGGTATGTGCCATGGTGAATAAGGATTAGGTGGTGGGCTTAATAATATTTGTGACCAATTATTGAAGTTGCGACCAATAAATAATATGTAATAGGTAATTGGATTAATAGTGTTTGTGACCAATTATTGAGATTGTGATCAATAAATAACATGTGACCTAAAAACTTGAGTTGTGGCTTATAAAATTTGTAATTTATAACCGATAAATAAATTATGACCTATAAATTTTTTTATTTGTGACCGATGAATAAATTGTGATTTATAGAATTTTTTATCCATGACCGTGAAATAAACTGTGACTTATAAAATTTTGATTTGTGACCAATTAATTCAATAAATTGTAATCAAATTGTGTAGAATTATAACTTTAATATATTTAATTAATAAGATATATTAAAATATATTTTTGAGGTGACTTATAATTTTTTTGATTTGTAATCAAATTATATAGAATTGTGACTTGTAATTTTTTTGATGTGTGACTGATGAATAAATTGTGACCTATAAAAAATTTTATTCGCGACCGAAAAATAATTTGTGACCAATTAATTCGATAATTTGTGACCAATAGTATAAAATTGTGACATCAATATATTTAATTAATAAAATATATTTTAAATTAATTATTTCATAATAAAATTTTAATTAATATCTGATTTTTAAAATAATAAACTTTGTTTTTTTAATTTTGAAATGAGTCGAACTTAATTACTTAGATTTGAAATTTGAGAAAATTACACCTAGAAAGGTTTTTAGATTTCCATTTTCATAAATAAGGAATCAAGTTTAATTATACAGAAATAAGGTTTTAATTTATAATTAATATAAATTAACATTTGATAATAATACTATACATCAACCTATACGTACACCCCCCTTTTTTTCTTTTTTCTTTTTTTCTTTTACTTTTTTGAAAAATAATAAACAATAATTTTATTACACCGTAATTCAACAAAATTTTACTTGGGTCATTGAGTATTAATTTATTTTAATTGATTGTTAAATTTCAATTTAATTTTAAAATCTTCATTAATCTATCACGGGCAAAAATCAATTTAAACCAATCAAATCGATCAATCCAAGTTGGGATTGGTTTTTTAATTCAATTAGGTTGGGTTCGAGTTAAAAAATTAAATTTAGGTCGAGTTGGGTTGGGTTGGGTTGCGTTCCTGGTTATCTATGATAATCCAACCCAATAAACTAAAAAATATTAAAAAGAAAATTAGTACTTAAAATCAAAAACCTAAAATTAGGCACACTAGAAATTAGGTTTGGTTGTTGGTGGTAGTGGTGTCGTGGTTGGTTGGTGTTGGTGGCGGCGCTGTGTTGATGGTGGATCATTTGCGGTGAATAGGAATTGCTGATTAATCATTTGTGGTGGTGGTTGATAGAAATTGCTGATTAATCATTCATCTTGGCAAATAGGAATTACTGATTAATCCTTTGCAGTAGTTTTGTTGGATTTGGCGATGGTTCTAGTTATAACAATGGTGGTTATGTAGTTGAAAATGGTGGTTTGTTTGTGGTTGTGGGGGCTAGTGGTTACGACGACGCTAGCTGTCGTGTTGCAGTTGCATTGCTTTCGGTATGTGCCATGGTGAATAAGGATTAGGTGGCGTAGGTGGTGGGATTAATAATATTTGTGACCAATTATTGAAGTTGTGACCAATAAATAATATATGATAGGTAATTGGATTAATAGTGTTTGTGACCAATTATTGAGATTGTGATCAATAAATAACATGTGACCTGTAAAACTTGAGTTGTGGCTTATAAAATTTGTAATTTATAACCGATAAATAAATTATGACCTATAATTTTTTTTATTTGTGACCGATGAATAAATTGTGATCTATAAAATTTTTTATCGATGACCGTGAAATAAACTATAACTTATAAAATTTTGATTTGTGACCAATTAATTCAATAAACTATGACTTATAATTTTTTTGATTTGTAATCAAATTATATAGAATTGTGACTTGTAATTTTTTTTGTGACTGATGAATAAATTGTGACCTATAAAAAATTTTATTCGCGATCGAGAAATAATTTGTAACCAATTAATTCGATAATTTGTGATCAATAGAATAAAATTGTGACATCAATATATTTAATTAATAAAATATATTTAAATTAATTATTTCATAATAAAATTTTAATTAATATCTGATTTTTAAAATAATAAACTTTGTTTTTTTAATTTTGAAATGAGTCGAACTAAATTACTTAGATTTGAAATTTTCCCATTTCTAATATCTATAAGCCCAAATTACATTGGCCGAATACATCTCTACTATAAGAAATCAAAATAGTATAAGATCCATTTAGATCCCCAAATTTGATGCCTACGGGTTAATTTCATATTTGGTCACTGAACTTTCAGTGAAGTGTCTATATATTTCTGAACTTCAATTTACTTTCAATATTAGTCACTTCGTGATCCTGTTACGTTAATTAACAATTACGTCACAACTGCAAAATCTTGAAGTTGATGATGAATAAAAGCTTGAGCACGCTACGTCAGATTAATTAATATTTTTTTTGAGACGAGATTATTTTCAAAATTTGTAACTATGATATGATTATGTGGAATATTCGTAAA